GAAGAGAAAAAAGAAGAAAAAGAGGAAAGCGGCGGCTAACGCGGAAGGCAGTACGTTCTCTTAGCAAAATATAGCCTGTCTCCCGGGGCTGAATTAGTCTCGGAGACTCCAGAAACTGCGCTTTGTTCGCCTTGTCGGCCGGACTGTGGGAGGTTCCCTGCCTTGGGCCGGTGTGCGGCTGAAAGCCCCGGAGCTCGTCAGGGTTTCTTGTTTATTCTAGCTGTAAAGTTTGAGCTCTTAATACGTGTTAAAGCTAGTAGCAACCAGTTTAGCGGTTGGTAACAGATTGGTAACATTAAGTTTGGGTGGTTTGCGTGTTTGTTGTACCTGTGCCGTTTTTCACAAAATTTGGCAAATGGATGGTTTCTGCATGCGAATGTCCAGCCACTTCGGCTTTTTAGTAACGCGTCCAGCCTTTGGCAATAGCTGTATATTAAGAAACTAAGTAGACTCCAAAAGCTGCACCCTGTGAATATTGCTTGATTGTAATATACATCTGTATATACAGACACATATTTATATTGGAACTTCTGTCTCTTGTATTTTCAGTCTTTGTGACATTTCTCCTGGTTATGCAAACAAAGAGGTGTTTTCTTGCAGTTCTCTGAGGATCCAGGTCCATGAGGCAGAACAGTTAATACATTTCACATCATGCAAGCACAAACCATATTGGAAAGGAAAGAATTCTGTAACTTGTTCCTCGTTTTCACAGAAAATTTCATGTTCTATACATTAAGCTTTGCTGGTTTACTCTGCAAATTGGACTGTGTGCAAGGAACTTGGGAGTTTTTTGTTTTCTGCTTCAGAAAGTTCCACAGAAACCTTGCCTCCCCTTCTGCCCCCCTACCACCTCATGACAAAAGCATGACATTTGCAAGTGGCTTACAGGCTAAAGAAATGCAGCTTTTAATAATGAACACATCCTCCATATCTCTGACTGACTTGTCTTCTGTAAAACAACGGTCTAGGTACAGAAACTAAAAAAGCAAAAACTGAAGAAGATGAATCTGTGGAGGTAGAAGATGAAGATAAGCAGGATACTGGAGAGAAAGAAGTGGAAGAGGAGGAGGGGGAGGAGGATGAAGTGCCCAGTTTACCACTGGGTGTAACAGGTATCTTGTTTTCTCTTAGTATGTGTGCAGAAAGCCGAGGTCTAATGCTTTCTTCCAGAGCAAGCTGCAGTTTTCAGATTTGCTTTCTAACTCAGGTATTTGAACACAGGTGACATAACACTGACAGCTGTACAGCTGTTTCTTGGTTACTGTTCTTCAAAGTTTGCATTATATTCATGCTTCTATTAGTCTTAAAATTATTAGTGATAATCTTTTTAAAACATATACACACACATGTATGTTCAACTGTAGAGGAATCGAGCAGAATAGAGGTATAGGGCTAGTAAATTTGTCAGGAAAAGCAGTGCATTCCTGTTAATTTTTAACAGCTTATGAACACATAAATACAGCGTATTTTGTTGTTAGCTTCAGATTTTACAGTGGAAATGAGTAAGAAGAGGTCCTTTGCTTTTGATTTTTTTCATCAAGGTCAGTTTTAACTGGATAGTCTTAGAGAACAGATGGGAGTTGAAGAAATAAGATTGAGTATATTTTATTTACCCTAACACACTTCAGGTGCTTTTGAAGATGATTCTTTTACTTCCCTGGCTGGTGTTGTCAGTGAGAATACACTGAAAGGCATAAATGACATGGGTTTTACACGCATGACTGAAATTCAGCATAAAAGTATTAAGCCACTTCTGGAAGGCAGGTAAGAAATACATCTTTTTACATGAAATGTGACTTTCTGTAGCAAAACTGTTGGGTTTTTTAAAAATGTTCTCATGTTCTATATATTTTGTTCATAAACAGCAGTACAAGGTCACAAAGTATACGTGTTGCGTGTGAACAAATACTTAGGGTAAGCTCATGGAATCTGCTTTGAATTTGTCTTTGAAAGCCGAGAAGTCTTTTCTCACAGACACGGTCTCACGCTGTCACCGGAGACATAGCGACCCATCACTGTGGTCTGCATCTGCCACCAAGCTCTTAATACCATCTCTGCTGGTTTCCTTTAAGTCATGTTATGTTTCTACATTGTTCAAAATAGGATTGTTCGTTTCTCTGTGCAGTTAACTGAATACTTCTTTTTCTAATTTTGCTGCCTGCAGGGATATTTTAGCAGCTGCGAAAACAGGCAGTGGCAAAACACTTGCATTTCTTATTCCTGCAGTAGAGCTCATCTACAAGCTAAAATTCATGCCTAGAAATGGTAAGGCTCTTTGTTTCACAGTTGAATTTTAAGGTGGCACAGCCATTTAGGGCTGGAGGGATTGGATGAGTCGTAACTTATTCTTGGCTGATTGATGTAATTTTTAGGAACGGGTGTTATTATTCTTTCTCCTACTCGAGAGCTTGCTATGCAAACCTACGGAGTTCTTAAAGAACTTATGAATCATCATGTTCACACCTATGGTCTGATAATGGGGGGCAGTAACAGATCAGCAGAAGCACAGAAACTTGGAAATGGAATCAACATCATTGTTGCAACCCCAGGAAGACTGCTGGATCACATGCAGGTAGGTAAAACATTATGACTAATCCGTGTTGTTAAAACTCCTGTCCCTGCCTGACTCTGAATTTGTTATTATTCTAGAACACTCCAGGTTTCATGTATAAGAACTTGCAGTGTTTGGTAATTGATGAGGCGGATCGTATCCTGGAGGTTGGGTTTGAAGAAGAAATGAAACAGATCATAAAACTTCTGCCAAGTAAGAAAAAAAAAATCTATCTTTCCTGGAAATCATTTGACTAACATTATGTCTTCTTTATGATTCAATAAGTGAAGTCATTAATTTTTATAGTTCTGTAAATGCACTTCACAGTGTCTCACTGTGGTGATGGTTTTTTGTTTTTTTTTTCTGATGGCTAGTATATATTTAACGTCGTTTATCTGAAGGACAGAGTTTTCACTCTTTTTAAAACTTTAGGGATATAATTCTGGTCATGTAAGATTCTTTTAGTTTATCATCTACATTTTCTCGTTCATCTTGCTTTGTCCTACAATTAATTATTACCTTGCAAGGCTTAAATATAAGAAAAAGGGGTTTCTGACATGCTGTTCAGATTTTCTTCATACCTCCCAAGAACAGGATCTTAAGAAAGTTTAAGTATTTACCTTAACATTTTCTTTTCCTTTTTCATGTAGTTACACATTGTAATTGATGTATTAAACACGTTTATTCTGAGTCAACAGAACTCTACCATTAACTTTCAAAATGGTGCAAAAAAATGCCAGTGGAAATAATATAGAAAAAAATCAGTGATAAATATTTTGAGGTTCTACATCTTAAATATTAAAATTTGTGTCTATGTGTTTAAAGTGCAGATATGTAAATGAAATAAGATCCTGTGAAAAATGTTAATGAGTCCTGCTAAAAATGGAAAGGGAAGAGTGGGAAAATGATAGATAAAATAAATTTTTACTTTGCATGAATTTAAGTTGGTTTTGTCCCATTAGGAAGGAAATAGTATTTTAAAATAGATATGTAAAAAAACCCAATGGTAGCCCTGGTTGTTAGAATTTAATTTAAAAAGTAGATTTGCTCAGGGAAGTTTGCAGCCAGTAATTTTATGGACTGGCTCTTCAAATTCTCTTTTTGAGGCTGTCTTTTGGAATAAATTTTTTTTTCAGAGCGCAGACAGACAATGCTTTTTTCTGCTACACAAACCAGAAAGGTTGAAGATCTGGCAAAGATCTCCCTGAAGAAAGAGCCGCTGTATGTTGGGGTTGATGATAACAAGGAGACGGCAACAGTAGATGGTCTTGAACAGGTAAACCACAAATATTATTAAAAGGGTTGTAATAAGTGAGCAAACCAAGTTCTAAATGTTTTTTAACTGGGTTGTACAAACACTGACTTAAGGAGTGTTCACCATCCTGGTGGGAAGAAGCTGTTGGTTGCCTAAAGGAGAACTTTATTCAGTCTGCTCTAGGAAGTTACACGCATCTAGTCAGTTTTTGCAGGATAGATGATCTATAACCTCATGAAATAGTAATATATTTTTTTACACTTGTCTGTTCTTATCTGTATTAAATATCTAAGCTCTGGTTATCTTTCTGACTGTGTTTTCTGTGTAGCTGACTAGAGATATATACATGTAAGTTGCTGCTTCCCATAATAGCTAACCAGAGTTGCATGGCAGTTTCTGGCTTTGTGCAGTTGACATGATGAGTGGTGTTATAAGATTACCAGTAGTTATGTATTGCCTTAAAAAAACCCCAAAACAGTAGCAAGAATCTGTAAAATTAAACTCTTGAAATAAAAAGTTAAGAACTTTAGGCAGTTTTTTTCATGATTTCTGACACTAATTCAGAGTTCTTGAAATGAATTTTTATTTTCTAAACTACTGCTTTTCACCAAACTTACATTAGTTTGGGGAGTTAATTCAAAATTAGTTCTTCATATGTCAAGTTAGTACAGTAAGTTTCTTGTCAAGTTCATCATCTTTAGGAGTTTTATATACCAAGGTGAGGGACAGACATTAAATCAAAAGTTTTTGGCCCAATATAGCTGGAAAAAATAAATATTTGTTTCACAACGTAGCACTTTGCTGATTTAATTGTATTGCTGAAACAAAAGTTTGTTGCATACTACTTTATTTAACAATATTTTAAAATTCTCCAGGGGTATGTAGTGTGTCCATCTGAAAAGAGATTCCTTTTGCTCTTCACGTTCCTTAAGAAGAACCGGAAGAAGAAACTAATGGTCTTTTTCTCTTCATGTATGTCAGTGAAGTACCACTATGAATTACTCAACTATATTGATCTGCCTGTTTTGGCCATTCATGTAAGTGTTTTGTCCATTGATTTACTTTTAATTAATCTGATAATACCTATAAGTTGTTACTGACCTTCCATTTGCCTTCTTTATTTCAGTCCAGTTTCTAGTAAGCAGACACCCTGCTCTCACAACACTGATGATGATCTTGATTAGTCTGTAGAGGAAGGAGATAAAGCTATGTAAATAACCGTAGAACTCTCTAATAACAGCAGTTGAATATTGTTAATCTTGCTGTTTGCTAAACCAGGGCTGAACACGGATATTAATTTGTGCTCTGTGTGTAGAAAGCTATACTTTGGTAGAACCGTTCCAGGTCCTGGTTTTGTTTGCATCTAAAATATTAACAGACTCGCAAACATCCTTCTTCTGAACTTCAGGGATTTATGCAGCCCTCCTGAAAAGAATGCTTAATGCCACCAGATTTGTGATGTTGTGGAAGATCCACTGTAACCTCCGAGAGATACCACTTCATGTAGCCCTGTGCTGTCCACCGTGGCAGCAGTGTTCCTTCACTGTCAAATGGTCCTGCTTGGCCTGTACAAGTCCATGATGCAGAAAGATGCCCCAAATTATTTTATATTTTTGGCAGTGATATAATGTGGGAAGTGGAAAATTTGGTTTAAGCTTACCAGTTGGCAGATGATTTTTTTTTTTTTTTACTTTTTGGGGTTTTTTTTCTTTCAGTTGATATTTCATCCTTAATGTGTTTGCTTCCTTTTAGGGCAAGCAGAAACAAACCAAACGTACCACAACGTTTTTCCAGTTCTGCAACGCAGAATCTGGAATACTGTTGTGCACTGATGTAGCTGCCAGAGGATTGGATATTCCTGAAGTTGACTGGATTGTCCAGTATGACCCTCCAGATGATCCAAAAGTGAGTTAAGGAAATCAAGAAACTTCACAGCAACAAATCAAACCCTAACTACAAACGTAGTTGCAGAAAAAAGCTGAAATTGCTGCTTAACAGAGGTCAGGATTCAGCCTCCATGCTCATATCCAGCTGCTGATTTCTTCCACTTCCCTTCAGCAGCTCCTAGGAACTGCTACACCTTAGCTGAAACCTTTGTTACCTTTTTACAAAGAGCTCCTTTTTAAAACACTATTCTTTGTGCTGTTAATTTAATTTAAAACCTAATCACATAAACAACAAAACACTTCTCAGGAGGAGTATGAGTTTATATGTGCATCGCTGAGTCTCCTAACAGCTTTTTCAGTGAAAACTTGATTTTTATTTAAAAGTCAGTATTTTTATTTGAAAATAAATGTCCAGTGTAAGCAAGAAAAACTCAAAAAGCCTCAGAAGTTTTGACAAATATACACAAAAATTATCTCAGAAAAAAAATTTAATTTTCAGTTACAGCAGACTTAAGATTTTTTTTTCTTCAGTAAAAGGTAAAATACTTATACTCAGGGGTTCTGTCTCAGCCTAATTATGCTTTGCATCTTAAGCACTTGGTTTCCCTCATCTACGTGTTAGTGCTAAGAAAAAGTCTTAAAAAATAATGGATGATGCATTACACTATAATGTTAAATTTGGGTGGTTTTTTGTGAAGCTGATTATTATATGTTTAAAAGATTGATTGGACTTGCTGTTTTTTATTCTTCCCAAAAGGAATATATTCATCGTGTTGGTAGAACTGCCAGAGGCATAAATGGTAGAGGACATGCTCTGCTCATTTTACGACCAGAAGAACTGGGCTTTCTCCGTTACCTAAAACAAGCCAGGGTAAACTTATGTCTAGATTTTAATTAGGGTGGGCTTCTGTTATTTTTACTCTGCAAAAGGTTTTTAAAAGCAAAAACTGTAATGATTAATAAAATGTGTTACTTTAAGCAAAAAAACATTCTGTTGCTTAGAAAATATTTACTTGGAACATCTGACTTCAAAGTCAGCAGCCCAGAGGTACATACTGAGTGTGTTTATAGTTGCTCTGCAACTGCGTAACTTGTGTTACTAAATAATAAATGTATTTCCTATGACCTCTCTGTGGAAGGATACTGGGAGTTTAACCATCCAGGGGCAATTAGAATTGCAGAATCACACAATTGTTGGAGTTGGAAGGGACCTCTAGAGATCAACTAGTCCCACCCAATGTTGCTTGTGCAGTTGGTTTTATTTTTTCTATTTAGAGAATCAAGTGCATTTTGTTCAGGTCCCAAAAATGGGGTAATACTGGCACATTGATGTAAAGGCACTTTACAGATACAGTTGTGGTATTAAAAAAAAAAAACCACAAAAGAACTTATACTATCTAGCAGAACTTTTTCTGTTTGTCTTAGGTCTTAAACATATTCAGTATTTACACAGTACAAATAATTTTTTTTTTCCTTTTTTAAGGTACCACTAAGTGAATTTGAATTTTCTTGGTCAAAAATTTCAGACATCCAGTCTCAGGTAGGAAATGACATCATACTACAGCAACTCTGAATATCTGCATAATAATTTACATGGAGAGTGTTAGTCTACAATGACTGCAGCTTAAAAATACGTATGCTGCTTTGGATCCTGTAGATGAGTACTGTGCAGTGAGGCCTCCTGCCATATCGTCCCAGTAAAGAGATAAAGTGGTTAGAGCTTGAAGTTGAATTTTAATATCTAATACTAAATTGTCATTGTTATATGGTATGAATTTGTTTGTAAGAATTGTTTTCTTCGCATTGCTTCGCAAAACCAGTGGTGCGAACTGCTTTCAGCTTTTGAATAGTAGTTTTCTTGAATGGATGCGTACGTTCAGATGAGTTGCGTGTAACATCTGTATTTATAAGATGATTTACACAGACTTCAGCGTGCAGTACCAGCATCTAAAATATCAGTATACAGTCCAGGTGTATTTTTAACTACTTGGTGTTTGATAGAGCCCAGTATCAGCTAAATGTGTTTTGTGCTCCAGTGCTATAAAAAATAGCCATGGACCACAAAGTCAGATAGAAAGATGGCTCCATAGGTGTGAATTTCTGTTTAGTTCTATGAATCATTCTTTGGCACAAGCTCTGTAAAGCTTCTTTGCAGTAACTTAAATTTGAAATAGCAAGTACGAGAAGGGGTGAAGACAGTCCTTACAGAAAGAGGTTCCCAGTTAAGACTAATTAGGAAGTAATGATGTCTAATGTAACTTACTTTTATTTACTATGCAGAATTCATATTGTTAAACATAAAGGAGACACTCAGATCTAAAAAGTATTGGGAACTTAGCCCACAACAAAGTGTCTCAGCCAGTCTACGCTAGTCCATACACATTTTTGTCTTAGATTTTAATACTACTTATTTTACAGTGCGTTTGCACCATAGTAGATAAGAGTATGTATATAATCACATGGAATGGTACAGTTTAGGTGTCTGATTTAAAAGTATACTGTTTTTATCCATTCATTCTCAGTACACATATTTTCATGGTATGGCTGCAGTTGTATACTCCTTGATGAATTTCTTTGGGACAACCTAATTTAATATTTCTGTAAAGTTTTATAATGCTGAGGCTTTGTATTGTAATTCAGCTTCATGGTTTTTTGTTCCTCTTTTATAAAAGTGCTCATATGTGGTATCACAGGTCAATTTTGCTTAAGTTAATAGTGAATGTCACTGTAACCCACATTGCAAATCTGCTTGAATATAATTTATACCCTTGTTACAACTATAATTGAATATGACTCTTGGTATATGGTTTGGGGTTTTTTGTTGTGGTTTTTTTTTTCCATCATCAGCTGGAAAAACTGATTGAGAAGAACTACTTCCTTCACAAGTCAGCCCAGGAAGCATACAAAGCTTACATCAGAGCTTACGACTCCCACTCTCTGAAGCAGATCTATGATGTCAATAACTTGGATCTTCCCAAAGTCAGCCTTTCATTTGGTTTTAAAGTTCCTCCGTTTGTTGACCTCAGTATCCTTTTCCTTCAGTGCTTCAAAGCTGAATTTCTGCATTATAAACATTAAACGCACCTTGCAGAAGTTGTTATACTACTTCAAATTGGGGTTGATTTTTCTTTTTTGCTATTAGTCACATAAATGCATTAGCTTTCAACAATAACTTATTAAAAAAATGTTAAATAGCAAATACTAAAACTGCAAGAATTGCCTCCAAACATCTGTATTTTAGTGCATGTACATGCTGTTCATGCTTTGGTTGCTGTGGGGTAGCAGATACTGGAATGCACACATGGATGTGTGCTCTAGAGTACTGTTCTCCTCCATGCAGAATTATTTTCATTGAAAGGCACATACCTAAGTTTAATAATCATGGAATACTGAAATAGAGAGGCAAGAGCATGAAATAGAAGACTGTATCTGCATTACTGTCAAACCTGCCAGTGGATGGCATTTGAGGCGATAGTATTTCACCAACTTAGTCAGACAACTGGAGGAATAAAACCATTCTTTAGAAGCACAGGCTCAACTTTTTGTATAATGCTGCTATTTTTTCTCACATTCATAACCCTTACAATATCTCAGAATCAACATTTCCAGTTATTCCTTTTTAAATTCTTTAACTAATGCAATTCCAGATGTGAACAGCAACCATGGCAGAAGACTACAGAAAAGAGGTGGAGGTGGTGGATTTGGTTACCAGAAAGCGAAGAACGTCCACAAAGCCAAAATCTTCAAGCACATTAGCAGGAAATCGGACAATCGGCAGTTTTCTCGTTAATCATACATTCATTAAAACAGCAAGTGGCAATGGAATAGATCACCCAGATCAAAACCATCTGGCAGTTACTTTCCTTTAAACTTCTCTATTTGCATTTTTGGTGGTCTTTATGGTTTTGTTTCTGGAAACATCTTTTGTCTTTTACTTCAGGAAGACACTTTGGAAAGGAGACTAAAGATTGGAAGGAAGAATACAGCCAGCTGATTTTGTGATGCTCATAAGGAAGAAGATAGTTGAATATAATTGTCTTATGTCCATTCTACAGATATTTTTATTAAAGAAAGAAAAAATACTTCTAGGTTTTATAGAATAATTTGGTTTGCATTTACTTTTTTTTCCCTATGCACACCTCTGAAAATTTTTGGAGTAGACTGCAAAGACAGATTATGGTGTGAGATAAAATCATTTTTAGTGCTACAGAACTCTGCTTTGTCCATCAAATATGCTGAAGAATATAGGAAATCTTTAGAACAGAAAATACCTACAAATAATTAACACTGTATGAGCTTGTGATTCGTGTCATGGCATCTGTATAATAAGTACAGTGTTCAAGATTGAAAAAATCTCTTAAATACTGTTCCTTTTAATGTGTTAATAGGGTAACATTTTAGTGAAATGTTTGGTTTTCCTCCTTATTCTCTTTAAATCTTAATTTATCCATCTGGTAACGTCTAGTGTACTCTCTTATCAAAGAAAATTAAGAAAAGTAGATTACATAAATTAAAGCACTCAGCCCAGATAGTGTTTTTTTAAAATGCTCCATAACCTTGATGCATTGAGAATTTTCGCAGTTGGATCTTGTGAATTGCTTTTTAGTCTTAGTTTATCAGATCAGTGATGGGCAAAGTCAAAGATACTACCACAAGATTGAGGAGGTGGAGAGACTTGGTAAGTGAAAAAGTGAGATAAATATAGTAGAAGGATATTTTGAGGGAGAAATAGACTGAAATAGAAGAGGGTGAAATATACACTGCAAATGTTCTGTGAAGCAGCTGACTTCAAGCTTTCAGGGACTTTTCAAGACTAGTCATTCAAATAAAGAACTTTCAATATGTAAAAATATTTAAATAGATTATTTTTTGTTACTAGGATTTGAATGTCTCTTCCTTCCAGGGTTGCAATGATAAAGCGAATCTGCTCTGAGGGACAGAACCACAGAATGGGTGGGGCTGGAAGGGACCTTTAAACATCATCTAGTCCAGCCCCCTGCAGTGAGCAGGGACATCTTTCACTAGATCAGGTTGCTCAGAGCCCCATCAAGCTTGACCTGGTAAGCAATAAGCAATACTCCATGGATGATGCTTGGCTCATTGAGTTCTAATCTTTGCTTCTGAGTTTGCTTCTACATTTGTAAATAATACATGTCAAAATAGTTCTTGTGTCTCTTTTTTAATAGCACATCTTAAAAATTAGATCTACAGTATCATACAGTTGAAAGGTTGTCTACACCTGCAAGCTCTTGTCACCTAAAGTGAAATTATACGTGAGGGACTCATTAGATGTATTGCAAAATTAATTATTTGGAAATAGACATAAGGAAAGCTGCAGTAAACCACTGTAAAGATCAGAGTGCGCTTATGTGGGTGTAAGTAGTGTGAATAAACCAAGTAGTATGGAACAGGATAAACGCCGAGGTGATGGGCGCAGTCAGTGACCACCTGTCTGACTGCTGCACAGCATCAGAATTCCTGCCACTTCTCTATGTAGGCAAAAGTCTGCTTCACAAAGAAGTGTTGTTTGGTTTTTCTCTGTCACTCGTCATTCTGCACTGACTGCTTTCCCAGCAGCTGAACAACCTCCTGTTCCCTCTAATTTTTTCCTTTGGAAGAGTTGAGGCACTGCCAATTCTTAAAGTATGGTATGAGGAAAACTGAAAAACGGGTTTGGCATGAGTCTGCACAACTCCTCCCTGGTATATTTGGTGTGTGTTTTCTTATATACTGTAATACAAAGAAATACTTTAAAATTGCCTCATCTAAGAGATGGAAAGACTGGATGGTATTCCTCTAGAGTAAAAAAAAAAAAAAAAAACCCAAACAAAAAAATGTTACTTAGACAGAGATGTATAATGGCTGTACAGTCTACATAGTCTCAGCTTGGGAATTTCTGTTTTATTAAGTAAATTATACCGTGAAATAACAGACTAAGTGAGAATTTAAAGAGAAGGGCTTCAACTTCTTGGCTTGCACAGATCCACTTATCTTTCTCTGTTTATGGAATCGTAAATGAAAATTAGCTTCTGATGAAATACCTGTGCTTATCAGGCAGCATCTATTCTGTGGTATTGCAGGAAGTTTAAAAGATTGTCAAGCTGATTGGAAATCTAACGTTTCCTTTGCAACTCGCTCTGTTATCAATCTTGTGAGCAGTTAATAGACCTCAGGCCCTCAGACTCTCAAGGTTTGTCTCATAACAGTGACTGATAGGTTGGGGACTGATAATGTGTGCCTTGAGAAATTGCCTTCTTTCCCTGGGAACCTTGACAAAGAAATTGGACTCTTTAAACCACTTAAGGGGGAGATCAAAACTGTGCTGCTTGAACCAGAAGATTTTTTTTTGACAGCTCCTGGAATAGGACCATAAAGGAGAATTCCATTACCGAGCTACTGCTCATAATCCTGAAAAAAACTCTTGTCATGATAGGAGTTTCCTGTGCCATAACGCTGCAGAGTTATAGACAAGCGCAAGACTAGTGAGAAAGTTGCCATCATATTTTTCAGGGTGGATGTCATGGGTGGGGGACACGTTTATTGACTATAGAGCAAGAATACTTGAGAACTGGATATTATCCACGTGGGTCTGCTGTAAATAAAAAGTATGTTTATATTTTGGCAGTAATTCGCTTTTTTGTTTCACGTATGAGTTGAGGACTAAATTTAAGTAAGGTACCAAAGATTTAGATGCTCATGATTTGCTTTCAAGCCAGTAATCTAAGGCTCAAGGGAAGCAAGGTCTTGCATGAGGGGAGAAAAGGTCTGTGTGATTTAAAAAATACATTATTTTAGTAGAGGTCTCCAGTTTCTTGTTGTGAAGGAAGGCAGGGTACTAACAGGATACAGCACAGGTCTGTGAACTTTGTTTTTAGTTCTACCACTATCCTCTTCAGGGGAGTTGTCCAGTTGCTTCAGCCCCACAAAACTCAGAAGAAATTTTACAGAGATTTAAAAACCTAACAACTAGAAAAGAGCCAGTTATTAGCCCTTAAAAGGTGGGTTGGTTTTATGGTGTTTTTTTTTATTTTCAAACTAAAATATCAATGCTGAAAGAAGCCTAGAATCAATGGGCTAGGCATGCAGAATTAAATCTCTCTCTGCTCTTGACTTTACTAGCTTGACTTCCTCAGGATTTTAGCTGCTTGGCTTGACAGGAGAATTCATGCAACTGTTTCTGATGCTTTCAAAATCCAGCCTCCTGAACTGGAATGATCTTTGCGTCTAAAAAATTTGCTGGCTTGCATCAAAGTCATAAATACTAAAATGTTGCTTGTTTCAAAATTTCTTTATTGCACATCCACATGGTGAAGAGATTTTTTTTTTCCCCCCCTCCTCTTAGCCACCACGATAAACTTCTGATATAGTGGTGTGAGGAGAGGTAGAGGAAGAATGCCATTAAGAGAATGGAAGACAAATGGACAATATAGGTGCTGTCTAGAGGCACACTGTTACATCAGTGTCATCCAGCTTAAGAACTGTATTCACCTTTCAGAAAAATATCAGCATGCTCTGCATGAGCAGTCTGTCTTCCTAAACAATTTCATAAGCTACAACACTGAAAAACATAACCATCTGCTATTTTTTTCCCAGTCGGTCAGAATTAAAAAGAAGAAAATCATAGGCTCTAGACAACGTTGTATAATCATTCCGAAACTTCTTCCAAACACTATTCTTTATTTTGGCTGTCACCGGAAGATGTTTACCCACTTGGGGCTTTCTGAGCTCCTCTATGAGTGGTTGCAATTGTTTATGAACATTAAAAATTAGAGGAATATTAATTGTGTTACTCTACATAACAAAACCTGGATGTTCACACATAGGGGTTGCCAGACCATGTGAATTTGTAGGAGCTATTAAGTCTTTCTTATAAGCTCTGGATAAATGACCTTGATACATTGTCACTTCTAATTAATAAAACCCTCTCTTTATGGGAAGAGAAAGGAGACTTGAAGAGCAGGTTGCAGCACCTTTCTCTAATTGTTTTCAAGAGGCCTGAGACTAAATTTTTGAAGGTACATAGTAACAGTAGTACCTACAAAATTGAGAGGATAAATGTAACCCTAAAATGGCATTTCTTTAAAAACCAAAAATCACAACATGGAGCAACTTCATTGTTTGACAGAAATTATATTCACTGATATCTTTCCATTCCTCTGTTAACTGTGGCAGAAGTTAGACAAATAGCTTGTAGTACTGAAAGAGGTAATTTTTCAATACTAGAAGAATTCCTGACCTGTACTAAGCCCTAGCTGCAGATGGCCTATAAGGAAACTGTATGAAATGCAAAATTTTTATTTAAACACTGTATTTTCTACTTCACTGCAAGATTTTATTATTTTTTTTCTGGTGCTTTGCAAGTAAATGCTCCTATAACTTTATGTAAACTCTCCGTAATTTTTTGTCTCACTTTCTACATAAATTCCGCAAGGGATAATTTGTGAATAAAGATACTTGATAAAACAGATTAATTTCACTTGGAAAGTGAGGTTGCACTAATGTGATTTCAGGTACAAACTAATCTATAAGATATACCGGTTTTAATTCATCTTAAACTCATCCAAAGGATTCTTTGAGCATACGTATGAAATTTGTCTATCTACAAGTATTGCACAGAGAAAGAAACCACACTCACACATATTCCAGGCTTGTACTCATGATAAATTTGTACAAAGGCCTTGCTTCACCTTCACATTATAGTGGCAGTGGAGTTAATTAGTACTGATGGGTGGCCCATATTACAAATAACTTGGAATCTGACACAAAAATCTTAAAATCTGCAAGTCAATATAATAATTTTAAAAAAAACAAACCTAAATGAAACAAAACTCTGGCTCCTCCTGAAGATTACTGGCAGTAGCAGAAGCCAACAAAGGAATGCGTGATGTTAGCAAACCTGCTATTCCATCACCCCCTTCGTATCCACACGTTGGCTTTAGCTGTACCAGGG